GCAGGCAGGGAGGGCTTCCTGGAGGAGGCGCCCGTTTCCCATTTGCCCCAAGTCTGAGACACCCCTCCCCCCAGCCAGGTCACCTTGGAGCCCTGGTCCCTCCACCAGCTGCACCTAGTTGCCCCCTCTGTTTTATGGCTTTGCCCCAATTCTCCACCCAGCCTGTTGCTGGTTCGGGCTCCACTCCCCGCCCCCCCCTCCCCCATCCACACTGTGGCAGCTGGAGTCACTGGGTCAAAAACTAAAGTCCACCCGAGTGATCCCACACTCCACCTGGCTCCGAGCCCCCGGCCCTAGCCTGCCGGAGCCCTTCAGGTCTGGCCGGCCCTGCTGGCGGCATCGTCCACTCCCCCTGGCCCTGCCCCTGCCCCTGGGGGCTTCTGGAATGCGGGCCCCAGGCTCCACCTCCACATCAGGCTGCTCTCCGCTTTGTCTGCACAGTCCTGCTCCCCCTGTAAGTTCCAGCTCACTGTCACCTCCTCCAGTGAGTCTCAGGGGTAGTCCTCAGCCCTCAGGACACCCCCAGGTCACTGTGTGTCCCTGGCCCAGTAGGCCTGCTGCCCCGTGGGGTGACCGAGTCCCTCCTGCTTGGGGCTCCGGGGGCAGCAGTGACGGGCGGGTGCCAGTGTGGGTGAGCGAGAGAGCAGTCACCTCATTCCTGTCTGACCCCGTCCAGGCCTGGCCGTGCCCAGCTGTGGAGTCCTCTGTGACTGTGCTCTCAGCCGGGCCAGGCGAGGGGCACCCCCAAACTTTCCGGCTCAGGGGATGAGGCGGGAGGCAGGTGGTAGAGTTCAGAGAAGACCCTGTGGGCGGTGGGTGGGTGCAGAGCGCCCCCTGGTGTTTGCCTGCTGCCCCGCGTTCCTGGCTGAAGTGTGGCAGTCCTGGGCGGAGGAAGACACAGGTGGGGGACAGGCAGAGGGGGAGGCCTGGCCTGGGTGCCTGGGTCCCCCACTGAGACACCCCTTCCCCACCCCCTCCCCGGCCCTCGGCAGCTCTGGACACGTCCAACGTGATGGTCAAGAAGCAGGTGTTTGAGCTGCTGGCCGCCCTGTGCATCTACTCGC